CTTTAAGACTTTCTTTACTAGTTTTTCGACAGATACTTTTTAACTTGTTTTTAGTTAAAGCTAGACTTGTTACTAAAATGTTCTCACTGCGCTAAGATAGTTGTTGTTGTAACAGTTTTACATGTTCTGTTGTTTTTCTGATTAATCCGGTTCTTCCTCAATGTCCAGGTTTAGGAATTCTGCTACCTTTATGGGCTGTAGCCATAGATCCTCTGGACGGAGTTGGGTAGGTTTGGCTGGACAATAAAACAAATGCAGCGTGTTGTGCGGGCCTGTATCGCACGCAGGTGTTCCGCACATCCTCATCAATTCGTGCCCAATACGAATTGAGACGGCTGCACCATCCTGAACGTAGTTAGGCCAAAACTACCCTGGTTTGCCTAGGCAGCCGACGTTCTTCAACTGCAATGGATGGGGGTGGACTCCGAGTATGGCATTCATACTGTAATTGTTAACTACCTCTGCGACTGCATCAGTATGAATGCTATTCAGACCCGCTTGATAGGCTTCATGATCTAGAGGCTCTCTCTTATATCGCTGGACCTCTCTCTCTCTAGATCGTGCAGGTCCTTCCTGACACGCCTGGGTGGGGGAGTTCTATCCACCATATGGTGGTTAGGGTGACTCCCACGATAACACCCAAGCAGGTACTGCAACGAAAGCATATGATTATGCTGACGTAGGTTAAGAACCTTCGTCTCCTCATGTAAATGGTCCACAGGAGTCATGAGGAAGCACCCTGTTGCAGTTCTCAGGGCGGCATTCTGGCAGGTCTAAATACTTTTCCACTGCGTTGCACTTGTATTCGCCGACCACACTGGAGCCGCATAGCTAACCACAGACCGACCTATCGCTTTATAAGAGGTCAACAAGGTTTCCTTATCCGCACCCCAAGTGCTGCCGGCTAGCGCCTTGAGGACCTTGTTCCTACTTTTCATTTTATCGCAAATAGCTGTGGCTTGCGCGGAAGACTTGAACATGCTATCGAATGTGACCCCAAGGATTTTGGGGTAGTTGGTGGTCGGAATTATATGCCCCTCGACCTGCACATTCAACTGTGTTCTCATCTCCGCAGTCCATGTGGTAAATAGTGTGGCCTTCGATTTAGTGGCGGATATTCTCATATTCCTCGCGTGGAAGAAGGCGGCAAGCTCCGCGAGATAGTTATTCACCCTGACACATATGTCATCAACTACTGGACCCGACGCCATGATCGTACAATCATCCGCATAAGTTACGATCTCGATGCCGTCTGGAGGGCGCGGAATTCCGGAAAGGTAGGTTAAACAGTTCCGGAGATATCACCCCACCTTGGGGAACTCCCTGTTTCACTCTACGAGGCTTGGACTTCTTATTCCGGAATTCCACGTACGACATATAGTTGACTATCCAACGTTTCAAACTTGGCCGGAGGGTAGTGTTCTCAACGTCCTCGAACAGCGTGGCATGGTTGACCGTATCAAAGGCCTTTGATAGGTCGAGAGCCACCACTACTGTTCTGTGGCACATGCTCTGTGTATACATGTTCGCTTAGAAAGTACAAGGGTCTCTTAAATTCCTTCGGCGTATTTTTTCAGTATTGTATTTAGTTTGCTCCCCAATTACGGAAAAAATCAAAATTCGTGGAATTGTGTAAAAATTTACAAAATTTACTTTCTTTTCGCACAAAATGTTTTCACAATTTGTGGTTTCCTCATTCGTTCGTTCTTTCATTCCTGTAATGTTGCCATATTTACACTGAGTAATGAGATTTTCGTGGTTCACTTTCATAGTTTTACATTTTGAATTAGGGAATTCAAGCCATTCTGACTCGATTTTGTGACATGTCAGTTAGAAAGATAACTCTAAATGTATCAGTCATAATTTCGCACACCAAACGTTTGGAAACGTTCGCTCATCAATCAATACAGCTCGGCAACTCACAACCGAAGTACATTAAGACAATCTATTTTTAACCCTCCACCATACTATGGAGGGTATATTAACTTTGTCATTCCGTTTGTAACTCCTCGAAATACTCATGTCAGACCCAACAAAGTATATATATTCTTGATCAGCGTAAAATTCTAAGTCGATTTAGCGATGTCCGTCTGTCTGTTGTAATCACGCTATCTTTCGAATGAATTGAGATAGATGGCTAAAATTTTGCACACATGTTTATTTTTCCAGTAGGCAGGTTAAGTTCGTAAATGGGGCATGTAGGTCCACGTTTTCATATAGCTCCCATATAACGGTAACCCCCCATATTCGGTATTTTGATGATTTTAGCGACGTCATTCACCGGAATTGTTTCAAATTTGGTATTTGAAGTTCCAAATGGATACTACACCCTAAGATAGAAAATTGTCTGTGCAAGTCTATGTCTTCGTATAGCCCCCATATAACGGTACCTCCCGATATTCGGTATTTTGATGATTTTAGCGACATTATTCACGGGAATTGTTTCAAATTTGGTATTTGAAGTTCCAAATGGATACTACACCCTAAGACATAGCCCCAATATAACGGTACCTCCCTATATTCGGTATATTGATGATTTTAGCGAATTATTCATTGGAAATTTGGTATTTGAAGTTCCAAATGGATACTACACCCTAAGACAGAAAATTGTCTGTGCATGTCCACGTGTTCGTATAGCTCCCATATAACGGTACCTCCCTATATTCGGTATTTTGATGATTTTAGCGACATTATTCACCGGAATTGTTTCAAAATTGGTATTTGAAGTTCGTTATGATTTTAGCGAATTATTCATTGGAAATTTGGTATTTGAAGTTCCAAATGGATACTACACCCTAAGACAGAAAATTGTCTGTGCATGTCCACGTGTTCGTATAACTCCCATATAACGGTACCTCCCTATATTCGGTATTTTGATGATTTTAGCGACATTATTCACCGGAATTGTTTCAAAATTGGTATTTGAAGTTCGTTATGGGAACTACAGTCTGTGACAGAAAATTGTCGGTGCGGGTCCAGGTCTTCGTATAGGCCCCATATATCAGTGCCTCCCTATATTCGGTATTTTGACGATTTTAGGTACAAATGTTTGAGATGTGGTATTTGAAGTTCGTATAGGATGCTACAGCCTGTGACAGAAAATTGTCTATGCTGGTCCAGGTCTTCGCACAGCTCCAATTCAACGGCACCTCCTTATATACGATATTTTGATGATTTTAGCTACATTATTCACCGTTTATTTCAAGTTTCGAATTTGAATATGGTAATGGCTTATGACAAACAATGCATATGTATGTCCACATCGTATAGACCCCAATATAACGGCTATATTCGGTATTTTTAAAATTTTAACAGAATTTTTTAAGGATTTTATTTTTTGAAAACTTCCAAATTCGTTGCAAATGGTGGAGGGTATTAAAAGTTCGGCCCGGCCGAACTTACTGCTTTTTAACTTGTTTTTTGTACTTCTGAAGTTTGGAGTACAAAACGATTGGGCTTAAATTGAGTTTAGGGGCTATGCTCGGATTGACCTGAAATTTTTATTCATTTCATTTCATTTTTGTTTATTGACAACCCACATAAGAATACAATTATCTCAGATTTCCAATTTACAGACGACAAAAAGTATTTGTATGTGCTAAAGTATTTATATTTAACTACTTCTTAAAACTAAATGGAGTTTCGTATTTCTTACCATATTAACAGTATCTTGTAGCTGAGTAAATCGGTCAGCCATGACAATAATCCTAAAAAATATAATTTACCACGTGTAGATATTTTTAACCTGATTACGGCAAGGTAATTTTTTTGTGGGGGAAATATCCGGTTACCCGGTTATTCGACCCGGAAGTTCGGATACCAAATCCGGGTTTTTTCCGGTTGTACGCAACTGAAATGTACAAAATGGGTATCATTTGAAAGCTTATGGAAATACCTTTCTAAACAGGGGTTATATGATGTCGTTTCATCGGTTCCGGAGTAATACAAAAATTAATATTTTTGTACCGAAACTTTTTGAAAAACCCATAAAAAGTCGAAAATGGGCCCATTATGGGATATTAGAAACTGCATACTGCATTGTAGCCTACATTCTGGCCTTTCTAAAAAGGTATTGATTAATATATAGAAATGTTGCAAATCATAAATTGAGATTTCCTCCATTAATATGTATCTTACCTTATAGCTTTGTAGTTCCGAAGATACTGACTTTAAAGTCGAATTCCGGCCACTTACAAAAATTATATTTAGAAGAACTATATATCGCGTAGCCGGTGTTGAACATTCTCTAGAGGAGAAAATCTCAAGCCTCGGCCGAAGGCCGGCTACCTACCAAAATTATAATGTTTAGAAAAACTATGGATCGCGTAGCCGGTGTTGGACACACCCCAGAGGAGAAAATCTCAAGCCCCGGCCGAAGACCGGCTACTTCAAAATGCTTAGATACATATTAGTGGAGAAAATCTCAATTTCATAATTTGCATCACATATATCTTTGAAACTATATATATAGAATATAGGTTATAATGTAGCATGTAGATCTTAATACACCATAATGGGTCTATTTTCAAGTTTGTAGGTGTTTTTCAAAAAATATGGGTATAAAAATACCAAGTTTCTTGCCTTACTCGGGAACCGGTTCCAATAAACCTATCATATGACAACTTGTTGGATAGGTAATTCCATAAGCTTTCCATTTTGTACATAACGGTTTTGTAGAACCGGGTGAAAACCTTATTTTGTATTCGAACTTCCGGGTCAAATAACCGGGTATTTCCCCCACGAAAAAATTACTTTCCTATAATCAGGTTAAAAATACCCACCTGCGGTAAATATTTCAAAATCCGAGCATTGCCCCTAAACTCAACTTTTTCCATTTGTTGACATCAGTCCAGCCATTCTTGAGTTATTATATTCTATTTGGAGAAATTTGCGACAATTTTTCAAAACGAGATTTCTGCGGAAAAGCATAGTATCCATAATATGAATAGCATTGCCTCGGCTGCAATAATCGTTAATTAGCACATTAATGGGTCTAAGTGTTTACTGGTGTTCGTGCAAAAGACACATTTTTGTTTATTGACAACCCACATAAGAATACAATTAACTCAGATTTCCAATTTACAGACGACAAAAAGTATTTGTATGTGCTAAAGTATTTATATTTAACTACTTCTTAAAACCACTATCTTTCATTGTTATTTGCATATCTAACTGTGCTTGTGCAATATCTTCCAAAGCCGATTGAATTTTTTCCAATAGAAGCTCGCCCTTATAAACTATTTCTTCTAAACGTTCTGCAGCTTCTTGATTCTCGACTTCAAGACGTTTCAAGCTCTGATTCTGCATTTCTATGGAACTGTCATCATTTGGCAATGACTCTATAAGAGTATCTATATCTTTGGCACATCGAGAAATGAGCTGTGCAAAAAGCTGCGCATAATCCTCTTGCTGAGAGTTAGAATTTTGGATAGGTGTCTGCGAACCCGTTCGATCAAAGTTAGGAAACTTGCTCGGATAAGAAGTCTGTTGTATTATGCCAATCGCGTTGCAAAAATGCTCTGCTTGCTGTAAAAAAGTAAAATTGAGCACAGCAATTAAAAATGGAGTTTCGTATTTATTTACCATATTAACAGTATCTTGTAGCTGAGTAAGTCGGTCAGCCATGACAATAATCCTTTTTTTTAGAACTTTGAAACGAAACCCTTGTTGAAGGGCAAAGATGGCGATTTCTAGGAATTAAAACGCCAGGTTATATTCAGATAGAACAATAATCATAAAAAATATAATTCGGTAGTTGCAGTATTCCTTATTAGAGGTGGCAAACAATCGATGTTGTGGATAGGTAAGTCGACTTCCGATTAAATGAATAATCGACATTTATACTCAAAGTTCTGAAACTAGAACTCGACTATGAACTTTGGTAAAACCGAGTACTCGACTATTCATAGTAGATTGTTCGACTTATGCTATGTTCTCATTGCAATTTCAATCAAGTTGTTCGCTCTCAAAATTAGGTACACGAATTAACAAGTTCATACGGCCCGATTCGTAATTCATAGTAAAATAATTCATGTTTTAAATTTTTTTTGTTGGTTGACTTTTGTAGTATTTTGTATGAAAGTATATGAAATAATCATTAATAATAATAGAATCAATTATTTTTCTTTCTCCAAAGATTTATTTTATATTTTATTTAAAAACTTTCGTTCATGAATGATTTAAGACTTTGTCTTATTGGGCTTTTAGGTCATTCATGTTCTGAACTTTTTTATAAATGTTGACATTCTACATATATTTGTCTGTTTTTAAATTATTTTTTGTCGATACAAAAATTTTGAAAATATTGCCTCTTTTGTTCCAGTTTTCTGTCGAAATTCCAACTCGTGGACAAACAACGTACTTCGGATGAGAGAAAAAACAAAATTTACTTTCATTTGAATGCACATATGCCGTTGTACACATTTCATCGTAGTTCTAAGAGTGATTTAAATGGAACAAAGAACAAAAATCGTATCTATGTTCGCTCAGAAAATTTTGTGTGGGGAATCAAGTAGATATTTCATAATTAATGGTCGAACAACGTATAGAGAGCGAATCACGTACCATGTGAACTTAGCATTAATTCATTCACTGTTTTTTTTTAATTCCTGTTCAACTAATATGCCCAATACCCCCAATGCCAATATCCTTGTTAAGGTGAGATGAGTTGGTTGTTGCCTTGTTGTGATATGTGGGAAACAAAAACGAAGGACGTCCCCAACGAAACGAATGTGAATGCCAAAAGGAATACTTGACAAAAAAATAAACAGAAAGCAAAATCTCGGGGTTCTCTGTTGTTTACGAATGAGTGAAATGCATAACGCCGGGTACTCTGTTGTTTTCGAATGAGACCATTGACCATTGTTGAACAAAAAAGGGGAAGATGAAAATAATGTAAGGTGGTTTATACACCATTGGGCAAAACGGTGCAGGCATTTGGATTGGGCGGGAATTGCAGGAATTGAATTTCTGGGGCTCGTAATGACAGTTAGACGTGGCGTCGAGAACACACGTTGAGACGGGATCACTGGCAGTGGTGAATTACCGCATGTGGCTTTGGAAACACACACCTCGGGATCCAAATGACCCCTGGTCGGTAGTACGAGTGGTGGGTGAAGGACTATGGCAACTCAGGATCGGTGTACGAAGCACTCCTTCTTTAATCCCGGAATATATGCGGCCGAAGAACACCTGTTTGAGACTGTCGGACTCGGATTGTAAGAGGCGTACGAAACACACTCCTACAAAATGGCTGGACTCGAATTTATAAGCGGCGTACGAAACGGCTTAACTTGGAAATTAAAGTGGCGTACGAAACACACTTAAGCTGGGAATACATAAAGCGCTTATTTGGCTGGCTTAAGTCATCGGCTGGCTTCTTCGGAAATGAACAAAGGAGCCTAGGGTCAAAATCGAACTAAGTCAACCTAAAACTCCTTTGTTCCTCTACGAAGAAGCCAGCCGATGACTTAAGCCAGTCAAATAAGCGCTTTATGTATTCCCAGCTTATATATATATATATATATAATAGGAAATAATTCAAATAACAATAAAAAATAATACAGATAAAATAAAATGAAAAATAAAACAAAATAATAATAACGATGAAAAAAAATTTACAAAATGAAAAAAAATTACGAATATAACTTTATTCTTAACGAAGATTGGATGGGTAAAAAATTCGCACAACAGCCAAGAACTACAAACCTGTTTCTCTAATAGCAGACATTGAACAGTGGGTTCAAACTATAAAAGACGATTAAGAAAAAGAAATTCTGAAGATACTAAACTTTGTTCTAAAGGACAACAATTACTTTAAATGCAACAACAATTTTTACCATCAGACGTATGGTATGCCAATGGGAAACCCCCTTTCACCCACGATTGCGGATATTATACTTGACACACTATTTGACGATTTTATTAATGAACTCAGCAAAAAAGATATAAAAATTAAAATGCTAACAAAATACGACATGTTATCAATGCGGTTATCAACAAAAATGACGAAAATATTATTCTAAATCTCCTTAACAATTATCAACAAAAAAAAAATTACAATAGAAAAGGAAGAAAATGGAAAACTACCATATTTAGACATGTTAATTATACGAGACAAAAACAAAATATTAACTGAATGGCATACAAGAGATATATCGTCAGGACGAATAATAAACTTCCACTCCACACAAAACTCTAAACATGAAAATCAACACATCAAAAAGCCTACTTAACAGATGAACAATTTGTTAACAGAAACATTAAAAAAATATGCAGAAATATTGAAGAAAAATAGCTATCCACCTCATTTTATAAAGAAAATAATCATTGACTGCTAAAACAATGAAAATAAAAATATGTTGCGGGGCCCTTTAATGCAAAATCCGACCCTGGATACAAAAAAAAATTTGCGTGGAGGGTATTTAAGGGGAGACCATTTCGCCTTTGTGGCGGTCTCAAAACCACAGTAGTAACAACGAATATCCCCAAATCCCAGTTGCCGTTAAATATGTGGGAGTTAGGGAGAGCTAATTGTTGGTATGTTAGGTTAGTTTCTTTTGTGTTTTGGTGGGCACTTGGTGTGGGCCCTGTTAAGCATGTTAGTTGGTAGGGAGGCACAAACAAAAACTGGTTCCCTTTTTATCGGTGGATTGTCGATGAATGTTTGATAAATACACCCTTTATGCCTGGGTATGCTAAGCCAGGACTTAAGCAGAAAGCCTAGAAGTGATGGGGAACACAATTCTCCACCCTCGATCAGAAAATCCACGTTCCGTTCCAAGGGATACGTACATTTGCTGAGAGTTATGTGGAATTCTGTCCGCCATCAAAATAAGGCTACCTGAAAGAAAATGAAAAAGGAAATTAATTAATAAAATATAATTTAAGGGGAGAAAGAAAACTGGAACGACGCGCGCTGATACAAACCAGGAGAAATAAATGAATCTCAGCTGACGAGCTGTCATTATATGCCATTCATAGAAAGGTAATAACAAAGGGGGTTACAAGTTGCCAACCAACAATGTAAAAAAAAGTTGGGAAACGTTGATACCGACTTTCATCTGTGTTCTCTTAAATAGCAGTTGGTAAAATTTAGCTCTTACGGGTTTTCTTGAGTGGAACCGAACAATACGATGGCTGTAGAAAGGGACCCTTTTTGTATTGTAGAGTAGGATAACTGGTGTCTTTCTCCCAAAATGTCCACCAGTGGCAAGCTACATTTGCGCAATGCAGAGGTTATAAAAGAGAGTAGCCTTTGAAAAAGATGTTAATAGTTTCCAAAAAAGATTCTGAACTGAAATTAATAGAAAAACCGAGTTTCTTAAACGAAGTTACCGACACCAGAGTGGAAAGAGGCGATATCTATTGGGAAGAGTTGAGACTAACTATCCCAGACAGGCTCCCACTATTTTAAGGTAGGAAGAGTATTCCCATTTTTTTAAACCTATCGTTCCGCCATCTATGGACAAGGGCGGGATCATCACGAATATCAATTTCACACCAGTTCAGCACCACAGAAGTTGTTATACTACCTAAGACACTGAATGGTATCCACACCGTCATTTATTAACGTCACAGTGTCTGGAAACTAAATAGTTGATGAAAAAAATCACATAGTGTCAAATCCATACGGAATACTGCGAACTGGTAGAAATTTACGGCCTAAAGTTGGAAACGACCAGGAAACGATGTATGTAATAAGTCGCAAGTGAACAAAAAAAACGAGATTTCTCAACTAGAATATAATGTCAAAAATGATTCTACCATTTGAAAGAAATATTTATTATTATTAACTATTTTTTTGTTTTAAATTTTCAACCTGTTGCATGTTTTTTTTAATTATATTTATTGACTATTTTGTATGTTCTTATTATTATTATTATTATTATTATTTTAATTTATACTTGTTATTATTATTTTTCTTATATTGTGACTTTCTATTTCAGCGTTCCCAAAGTATTTGATTTCAAAGATATTGTAGCCCCCCTTTAGCTAGCTTCAAAAAGAGCTCCTTTGTTGAGGATATTAGTATGGGTTTGAGAAATTATATATTAAACTGCCCCATTAAAAAGGGTTTACCATAGAAAGCTTTGTGAATGTTGATGTCGTTTTTTTGTTAACAATAACATTATTGAGACAAAGAAAAATCCCCTAAGGGAATAAAATTTGTTGCTCAAAAGACCTTTCGATTTTAAAAGTAAACTGGCGAAAAACCGAAATTTTGAAAATTTCCTAATAAGGATAAATATAAAAATCAAACATCATTATTTCAATTTTTGTTAATATATTATTTTATTTATCGTATTTATGTAATAGGATTAGATTCAATTAGAGTTTTAATTTGATTATAGTAATTAAGAATAATAATAAACATGATTTGATTGATTTGTAAGACTATAAATAATGATGTGTTAGAGTTGTTCATGAAGGACTGAAGGGCGAGGTAAGTGATGTGATGTGGGCGGTCAGTGGGGTCACTAAGTATAAGGAGAGGAGGACGTGATCATGGTTGGGAGGGTAGAATAGAGGTCATCAGGTGGAAGGTTAAGATAGGGATGGTGCATCTTCGTGTTAGTATACTGTGTTTTCAATGTAACCATCATTTACTTGGTGCATCTCAGGAGTAGGGGGTGATGGGTTGGGACCATACCTAGAGAGACGACCGAGTTAGCCGGTGCCTATAAGGAAATGACCCCCCTACAACAGCGCATGTAACAATATGGCGCCCAAAATAATGTTATCCGGATCTAAATCCGGATGCTGTAATGAAGTGCAGGTCATCTGAACACTTGTTAATAGTCCAGTAAAGTTTATGCAATAGC